ATATTTTTTAAGACCACAATAAAATTTATTAAGTATTTTTCATTATTTTTTTCATAACTCTTATAGCTATCCAAGGGAGCTCTGGTAGTGTAGTGCCGAAGGCACTTGACTGCTAACCAGAAGGCTGGCAGTTCAAACCCACCAGCCACTCCTCTGAAGGAAGCTTGGGCAATCTACTTTCGTAGTGATACTGCCTTGGGAACCCAAGGAGGGGTCGCTATGAGTCAGGTCTGACTCGATGGTACATAACAACAACAACAACAACATTCAAAGATTTAAGTCATTTCTACAAATATATTTTTAAAGTGAGTCTTTCCTTGGCAAATGTTTTGAGGCCTTCTATGCCTGAGAGTATTTTTATTGTTTCTTATATTTGAATGAAAGAACCTGGGTGGTACAAGTGGTTTCTAATTGGCCAATAAGCTAAGAGTTGGTGGTTCAAACTGACCCAATGACTCTAAAGAAGAAAAGTCTGGCTAACTGCTTCAGGAAAGATTGTTATTGTTGTTAGGTTCCATCGAGCTGGTTCTAACTCATAGCGACCCTATGAATAGAACGAAACACCATCCAGTCTTGTGCTATCCTCACAATCTTTGCTATGCTTGAGTTTATCATTGCAGCTACTGCGTTAATTCATCACATTGAGGGTCTTTCCATTTTTTGCTGACCCTCTACTTCACCGAACATTATATCCTTCTCCAGAAACTGGTCCCTTCTGACAGCATAACCAAAGTACATGAGACGAAGTCTGGATATTCTCACTCCTAAGGATCATTTTGGCTGCACCTCCTCCAAAACAGATTTGTTCATTCTTCTGGCAGTCCATGGTATTTTCAATATTCTTTGCCAAAACCACAATTGAAATGCATGAGTTCTCCTGCAATCTTCCTTACTCATTGTCCAGCTTTCGCATGTATATGAGGTGATTGAAAATGTCATGAGTTGGTCAGGCACACCTTAGTCTTCAAAGGGACATCTTTGCTATTTAAAACTTTAAAGAGGTATTTTGCAGTAGATGTTCCCACAAAGATTTCAGCCAAGAAAATCCTTATAGAGAAGTTCTACTCTCTAACACATAAAGTCACCATGAGTTGAGGGTCAATTTAATGGAACTAATAAAAGCAATTTATTTGATTTTTTTTTTTTAAATTAGTATTTCAATTGTGCCTTCTAGGTAACTTTCCTTCACTACTTCTAAGTAATTTTCCTTCAATATTTTAAGAAGAAAGATCCTTTGTATCCAATGTCTTTTCTGTCTATAGAACTCTTCCTATTATATGACTTTATTTGTTTTGGAAACATGCAACTATATTTGTTTGTATTTTATATTCTTCTTTTCACTGTTGATATATAATTTTATCTGTTTGTTCTGACCTTGTCTGTGCCCTTTGGCCATGAGTTGTCTATCAGTTTGTCATATTGCATTGACTTATATGTTGCTGTGATGCTAGAAGCTATGTCATTACTATTTCAAATACCAACAGGGTCACCTACGTTAGGCAGGTTTCAGTACAGTTTCCAGACTAAGACAGATTGGGAAGAAAGACAAGAAGATAGTCTGATTCTGAAAAAGCAGACCACTGAGTTCCAGCAAGATGGAGGAATAGGCAGACAAGCTACATAGACCCTCTGCAACAAAGCAATGAGAAACCAATTGAAATGAATACAGAATAAGATTCTGGAAACTTAAGCACTGAAGGGAAGGATAAAGAAGTGGATTAAATACCAACTAGTAGAAGAACCTGAATGAAACAGTGACTAAGGAGACAAACGGAACTGAAGACTGCTGGTTGTACTAAGGGCACAGCCATTTTGAATATTTCCTGACAGCAACCTAAGAATCAGGTCTGATCAACAGGCTTCATGGGCAAGGACTGCACTGGTGCTTGATGACCAGAAGGGAGAACAGCAAGGAAGAGGAGAGGCGGACCTGTAGACTGCTGGTGGCTGTCCTGAGGGCACAGCCAATTTGGATGTTTGCAAGTGGACAGTATAGACATTTTGAGTGTATGCAGGTGGTGTTCTTGCATCCACTGAGACCTGTGAGTGGGCTCCACCTGCTAAGGATGGCATGGGCAACCTCACTGGACACTGATGGCTGGAGAGATGTGATATCCCCCTTGTTACTCCTGTGTTCCGTGTCCTCTTTGTGAACAGGAAGTGTGATCATAAGCCCATCTCCATCCACTTTCTTAACTAGCGGGGATTCCACTCCAGTCTGTGCCTTGGCAGAGCCTGGGCACTATGCCCCACCACCCACAGTTTTGTATTAGTTTG